GCTGCACAACTGTGGTGTGTTAATTTCTTGAAAAATTAAATCAATCTTGAGAATAAGGGGACCTTTCAAAAACGCAAATACAATCTTAATATCACTAACAATAGATGGAATAACCCACAGCAAATTACCCCACCGAGTACCCGGTACTCGGTATTCGATTCTAACCGAATACCCGATACATGGCGGTGTGAAAAAAGTAGTATGTACTCGGTGCATCCCTAGTACTTACATACATATATTATGTATTTAGAATCCTAAAAAAAGGGACACTTTACACTGAAAATATACTGCGCGTCCCATTAACAAAATACAACTGTATCCGACAGCACTTTTGTGATCCTGTTTTTTTGTTGAAACAGTGATACAAAACGAAGAGGTTTAATTTATAACATGACTCCCTGTAAGGTGCGAGCTTAGACTATAGCACCTCCGAACACATCAGTCCTAGATCTTAGACCTTATCGGTGGTTCAAATAACAAGAATGGATGACCTTTCTAGTTGCATGCGACACAATGATCAGCTTAAATCTATTTGGGTGAAGAATAACGAATGTGGCTTTGTGATACGGCAGCGTGTAGAACAAACGTTGACAGGCAAACACAATTAATCATTCGAGATGCGGCCGGTGGAATGCCGTGCTCGCAGCATTTTTTCACTTCTGGTCACTAAATTAACACAGCTCGGTCGCATATCATTGGATGCCAACAATTTCTGACCAGGCCGCCCAGCCACAGCACGGACATGATGTCGATTCAACTGTTTTTGTGCGGGATTCTCATTTTTTGTAGTGGTATAACAAACTGGGATAACAAAATTAAATCGCCAAGTTTCAGACCAATAGACGTAAAAAAAATTATTGTAAAATCTATACGGCGTGTTTCAGAAAATGCGAGGCGATATCTCTAGAGTAGTAAGTACATCCAGGAAGAGTTACTATAAACTGTTGTTGACACCTCCACCCATGATGAGGTAATAAATATTAACCAGGGTTACGAGGGTTTAAATCAAATGATTTAAAAACTTTACTCAGGCTAGCCTACGAAAAACGCAAATACAAAATATGTATGTATGAAAGTCAATTGTAACACATATTATACAGGAAAACTAATTTAGCTGCTTTTTCTGTTCCCAAACGATTTAGAAGTTTGGAATGTACCAAACCGAACGTCGAAAACACTCTCGACAGATGCTGAAGAAGCTGTTATTAGCTGTAGCAGGTATTAGGTATTTAATGGTGGGCAGTACATTATGTTGGGATTTCCACCAATTTAGAGCTTTTGAAGTTTTGAGAATCTCTTCATCAAACATAGTGGCAAGTACCTACTGGGAAGTAGTTCTTTTGCAACTTTCAAAGAACAACTCTTCTCATCGTATGTTAACAGATGTTGTGGTTTTGTCAGATCACGAAGATATGAACTGATGCATTGTCGGCATCGGTGTCTAATTTTTTTTATTTGTTCCGTTTTCTGACATATCTCTTTTCATCTTTTTTGGACGAATAGTGAAAATAATGAAAATATGTTATTTCAAAGTTCATTATTGCTATATTAAGGAGAAAATCAGTACAAATTGATAAAAATCAAAAAAATCACGATTTAATCGAAATAATCTGATTTATTTTTTCAAAAAAACTGGTATTTTTTTGCAACACTGCCTAGAAATATTTGCACGCTTTTCTGAAGTGTATATCCAGAGGAAATTGAAAACTCGTCCCGGTTTGCTTAGATGTATCGACGAGTTATAGGCAGCTGGTAAAATGCCACCAAAGCAACTTGTACAGAGTATACTAGGTAGTCAGCAAGGTTTGACAAATTCATACTTTACGGAATTTATCGCGACCTTTGAATTTGAAGCAGGTTACTACCTTGATACTAAAATGATTTTAGTAAAATATAATCGACAGTATCATTGGATACTCTGAAAAACATTTATTGGTTGTAACTTATTAAGAAACGGCATTGGTGTATTTGAAAAAATTCAGCAGTCTATGGCAAACTGACTACATTTTAGCTAGATGCACTCGTTTTAAGCAGTTCCCGTGATTTTGGAAGTTTCACATGTGGAGTTCGTTAAAAGCAAATATTTTATCGAATATTTTGTGCCCTTGTACGCTCAAGTCAATGCGGTTTTACCGGAGTTTTTCGAAGATCGCTGAAGAGAGAAAAACGTCTGGTATACAGAAGCGGTCAAAAGTTTGGAACCATGCTTAGTAATTTTTTAAAAATGCTCTAATTTTTTATTCTTTATTATTAAGGGCTGTTTTTTTTTTCTCATATAATTTGCTTACAGTCTTGAAGATACAAATGACAATTTGTATTTGCTGTGGTACTACAGAATAGCATTAAAATACCTTCATATTATTTTATGACCAAAAACGAGACGACAAAAGTATTGAAATTTTATATTACAAAGTTTAATACAATATTCTACAAAAAGATTTAAAAAATACTGTTTAGCTAATATTTGGTAGCATTTTAGCATTCAACACTGCCTGACATCTGCTGCTCATAGAAGACACCAATTTTTTACAGACGTCTGTTGGGATATTTTGCCAAATATTTTTTACATAATCAAATAAATCGTTCCTATTTTTAGAAGTTTTTCTTGTCAGTTGTCTTTTAACATGCTCCCAGAGATGTTCTATAGGGTTTCGGTCCGAAGATTACGAAGGCCATGTAAGAACATTTACACATTTTTAGTCTTAACCAGTCCTTTACGAATTTTGAGGTATGCTTGGGGTCATGATCTTGCTGGAATGTCCATCGTAAAGGCACTTCTTCTTCAGGAAAATGGAGCATGTGTTCATTAAGAGCAGCTTTGTAAAGTTTTTGATCCATTTTCTTAACAATTTTAACAATTGGACCCGTTCCAGAACTAGAAAAACAGCCCCAAACCATGATGTTGCCTCCACCGTGCGTAAGTGTTGGAAACTGATACCTTTTGTCGAATCTTTTTCGTATAAGATGTCTCACATATGCCGTACCGTCAGATACAAACAAGTTAAATTTGCTTTCATCGCTCAATAAAACTGTATTCCATTGTTGTTCTGACCAAGTTAGGTGAGTTTTAGCAAATTCAAACCGCGCAATACGATTTTTTTGTTTTGAAATGATAGGCATTTGCACTGGATGCCTGCCAAAAAGCCCAAAATCCCCCTAGAGTCTGCACTGTTCTTGCAGAAAGATTCTCGGCACCCTCTTCTACGATTCTTTTCAACATCTGTATGGCTTAAATTCGATAATCTTCATGGGACAAACGTTTAATGTTGATCCGTATTTTTGATATTTACTAATAATTTTCGACCTCGTCCTTTCGTTCATTTTTAATCTTTGAGAAATGTCAACACTTCTAACAACACTTCTAAATAATTCAATAACTTTGTCTCTTAAATCTTTTGAAAATTCTTTTACTTTTGTTATTCTCACTGATGTTAATATTTACCGCACGCAATATTAGAGTATCGCAGAACAAATAAATACGGCAAAACTGAAATGTTTCTATACTTTTGTTGTTACAAAAACTGTTGTATTTAAAAAAAACATGTTTTTATTTTCAGAGAATTTGAATATTGAGAAGACAAACCTTGTATAAGTACGGGAGCCAAAGGTAGACCTTAATATTTATATTATCTGTTCCTGAACAATTTTAATTTGGGTAGGTATATGAAATATTTCATAATAATGTTAATATTTGTTTCCAAACTTTTGTCCGCTACTGTATGTTTGCCCCTTACTCTGGACCTGTGTTTAAGTGTTTCAAGCTATAACCGAGGCCATTGATTAACGTATCGTACCTGAAGATAGCCAACCGAATGCTATATTCCCATGTTCAAAAAATTATCCAAGATAAAATGAGAAGTTGCGGCTGCTTCTATATTTAAAGGACGCTGTAGCCACCAATATACTTGTATGTGCTCAAATATACAGCGGCATCTCATTTTATCTCAGATAATTTTTTGAACTCGGTAATATAGCCATTAGATTGGGTATCTTCATGTGGAATACGTTAGTCAATGGCGAAATCTAAATCAACTATAGCCACTACAAAGGCTTTTTTATTTTGTTCCATTTTAATGTTTCTATACCTCTTAGAAATGTCAATTTAGCTTGGTGGTGTTGAAAGAATTCAGTTGTACAATTACGTGACAATTCTGGTAATAGACATAACTAACATGACAAGTACTAATGCTACACGATCGTAAAAAACGTTAATTTATCCTTTTAGCTACCTGCTCTACCGAAAGCGGTGGACTCTATTAATTATGCATGTTTAGAAAGTAGATACGGACTTATGTGCTGTGTTTCTCTTAATGGAATAAACTTGCTAATTTTCAGTTATTTGTCTTATATAATTGGCTCATTAGAATTTGTCAATAACTATAATACTTCCAATTTTAGGAAGGGTAAATCTACTCTTACTAAAATAATGCATAAGCAATAGATATTATATTCAGATTTTACAAATGAAACGGTTCATAAATAGCGCTTCATCATCAATTGCTTTTAGGAAATCTTCTTGACCGAAAAATAAAGGTAACACTGCCACTTATGTCAATCGCGGTACTACCGACCCCTACGTACAATAGCAGAAAAAACACAATTTCCCCCACGCGTATTACGTAACTGGAAAGATTACATTTACTATGTTTACATGTGACTCCATTTCGATCTCGATTCGACTTAAATACTATCCAAATCCCTTGTTCTGTCTGACGAGTCAACTGTTATGCACAAAACGTAACACACGCGTCACCGTGATATCATCAGTAAATCATAATACCTTATTTTTGTGATGTCGGTTTTTATGATTTTAAAAGTATTAGCTGAAAATAAATATTCTCCAAATAGCCATTGTAGGAGCAATGTACGACATTTTCGAAAATGAAAATTTCTAACTGCCATATCTGCAGGCACTTTGAAAATTCAAGGCGTGTACTTTGAGATGATATCTACGGTGCTTTGAAAACAAAACTTTGCCATTCTGCATTACCTCAAATATAGGCAAAAATCGATATGTACGTACTTTTAAGTTAGGATATCTCTAAAACTAGAGCCAAATGGGAGATACCACGGATTTGAATTCAATGCATCAAAAACCTTCAGGAAAGTATATTCTGGTGTCTGGGTAAAATTCTTGTCGGTCTGGTTATGTTTCCAAAGCAGTGCCTATAATTTAATCAAATACTAGAGCGACAAACTGAATAATGCTTAAATCTAAGAATATTGCATTAAAAGGATATTCCACCATTGCTTGCACCCCGTTTTTCTTGAAGATCACTATTCGTAACACTTGTCCACTAGATTGGCATATTGTATGTAACACATCCTGTAATAGAACATATGAAACATTACGGGATATTCCTTAGTTCTACCATAAGGAACAAAGAAGTCAAAATACCTTAGAATGTAGCCAACAAAAGAGGATTAATATTTCTAATGAAATGATTTATAAAAACACACTTATTTGTTAGTTAAAAATATCAAGATGGTAGCTGTGCGCCATCTAGTTAAATTTTTCAAATGGAATGAGGAGTCGTGTCATACCATACCTATAACCCTATGATACAAAATTACTATCTTCCAGATTAGCGGGCTGGGAAGCTGTTAATGTTGCTTTTGTACGTATATAATGATTCTCTTATAACTCGACAACTAATCATCAAAACGCTAAAGGAACAAGTAGTCATCTCAAAAAAAGACACTTTGTTAAACGCCATTGACCTTGAGAGTCATCTGCATTACAGTAAAGAAGCCGATCAGAATTTTTTTGTTACATCATCGCGTACTGATATGATACGATAAAAACTAGCGATATCTTACGTATTTTGATGCTAAACAGCAAATTTGTCAGGTTTAAATATGTAAGTTTTTACAAGTTTTTAACATTCCAGATCAGTACCCAATGTAAGAAAAACATTGCAGTCGGCGCTTAGACTATTACTGATTTACAAATAAAAACAGCGATCTCTGTGCGGAGTTGCGGACCGTCGTTGGCTACCGAGGCGGTGTTGCCAAGCTCTCATAAAGTATTTATAAAACGCTACACTTACACTAAACAGAATCGAGTTCCGCTCTTTTCACGGTTTTTGGTGGTTACGTCCAAAAGTCGTACGAAACAAATAAGAACATCGTCTCAAGGCCAGGTTGTCGAGATAACTCGAGACCATATAAAATAGACCGAATATTAATCAAATAAGCGAATGAGATCAAAAAGGTTTGAATTTCAAGCTAACATTCCTCTTTTGTTAATAAACCAGATAGTGTATTATATATTCTTTGGTTATTGTATGTTATATCAATCTTTTTCTTCTCTGGGAGGGTCTATCCGAATTTGCAATAAAATATACGACAGATGTCGACAATTTTTGAAAACGAAATGTTTCATTTCAAAGTTTTCATTGTCCATACAATTTTTAAGATCACGTCGTTTTCAGTTCTCCTGGTGTCGATTGGACATATCATATCAATCGAGGAACGTCGTGGTCTCAAAAATTGTATAGACCATGGAAGTCCGAAATGAAACTATTCAAACGCCCACATTTGTTATTTTAAACCACGGTTGATATATTTCATATTTTAGCGAAAGCACCGTTTCACTTCTCAAAGTCTAATTTATTACTGCTGGACTAATAATTTATATCACTTGTATCTAACTTACAACAAATTTATAACTATGTCGACTTCACTCTTATTCGATGTTAGCTCCTCATTCGCTGTCGACTGGTTTGACTGTGACTTCCTCACTCCGTCATCTGATCAGATATTTATCCCCTTATCGACGAGTTCAGAAATATTCCAGCATTTTTGGGAACTTCCGTGGAAGCACGCTTCATACAAGATCGCGTAACTCTGATTGTCTATTCTCTAGGCGCTGAAGAAAGAAACTAAACCCAAACAAATACACGCATATTGCTCGTGAGTGAGTGTTTAGGCGCAGGAGACATTACAGGACCGCATCAAGATATTATGGGTAGTCATCAAAAATTTCATACAAGATAACTATTATCTTTTACAGTAAATTTCAGTTAGAGATTCACAAATGAGTTAACTACACTTTTTAGTTATTAGTAAGTAAGCTGCGCGCACTCATTCAGAAGAGGAACTTGAATCTTCTGAATCGTTTAAATGAATTATTAGAGGTTCAATTTGGGTATCGATGACATTGTCCAAATCCCACATTTTGACCTCAACCTTCTCCCGAACGTGGCGGATACAGTTTTTCCATTCCTCTGCCGTAACTCTATTGACTGCGATGTGAAAGAGATTTTTAACATCAGAAAATTTATAAGTATTATAATTCGACGCCACGTATTGCTTTATGTTGGCCCAAATCAGCTCAATAGGGTTCAGCTCACAATGGTAGGGTGGCAGTCTCAAGACAGTTTTATTTTGTTTTTTGGCCATTTCGTCGATCATTTTAAAATCGTATTTGTATTTATGTCTATTGACTATACTTATCAATTCACCCTTGACCATTGTTTCATCAAAATCGATCTGTTTTGAGGCCAGCCATTGTTGTATGTTTGCTTTTTTAGTTGCCATTGTGGGAATTTTTTCTATTTTTCTACGTAGAATGGTACGGGGCATTATCCAGTACAATAACAGCGTTATTCTCCAGCTTTAGTAACATTTTGGAGAACCAATTTTCAAAGGAATTGCCGTCCATCTCCTCATGATAGTCCCCTGTCTTTTTTGATTCAAAGGCCCACAGTGCTTCGGGAACAAAGCCGTCTTCACTACCTACGTGACAAATGATCAGCCGTTTGCCTTTTCCTGGAAATAAATTATTCCTTACACTATGGATTGATTAAATTTGAAGGAATGAGGCAACTGAGTTCATTTAGCTGAATTTAAGAGTCACGGAATGCTGATCAAAAACTGAAAAACGTAGAAAATTGAAGTTTGCAACTTCTCAAAACCCATTCAAAGCAAATTGACTGCACCCAAAAATGATAATAAATTTCAAAATAACACTTAAAAGAGGGTCGAAGTTTTTTTCCTAATGACTACACTGCGAATGCACCATTTTTGGAGAATATCACACATTATCTGCTATCACAGCATATTATTTGCCCGAATTTATCAAAATTAAATTGCCGGATAGAAGGAGCTTACCTGCAGGATTTTTCAATCCAGCCGAAAGACCGTCTAGAAAAGCCTGCCTTGATGATGTTACTGATTTGTCGACCCAAACTTTCGCTTGAGTATGTCCAGCATTCACCCACGTTTCGTCCAAATAGTAAATTTTTCTTTTTTCATCGCGAAACTTCCGAATCTTCCTAAGGTATTCCCTTCTCCACACAACAATTTCTTCTTTCTCTATTAACATACTGTTTCTTCCCCGTTTCAAGAATCGAAAATTAAGTTCCTTCAAAAGTTTTCGGAATGTGGTTCTTTTAAATGATGGAAGATCCTCATCAGCATTAACTAATCTTAATATCTTATCTACTGTAGGTATCTCATTTCGGAAGAAAAAATTATGCACTTTCCTCCTGATGGCAGTTCTGTCAAAGTCATCTACTCCGTCCGTTATCCTTTTTCTTGCAGGATACGGTTTTGGCTCAGAAAGTGAGTGAGTGCTCCTATATTTCTTAATGATCCTATAAACACTGGACCGACATACTCCAGAAATATGTGCTACCTTACATATAACTTCGTCCACGACCAAATCGGGTTTTTCTTGAATTTGGTTTTTGTATATATTTAATATTATTTGTTTTTCATTTGCACTTAAATGTAGCTTCTTAGCCCTTTTTTTGGGCGGGGTTGTGCTGATGTCAACCACTTCGTCGGCTGTATCTGTGTCAGACATCGTATCTTAGGCAATATATAAACAAAACGTTCCACTCGCGAAAAACGAGTATACGCTACTGAATGCGTAATGCGTATGCAATGCGATCCTGTGCGTGAATTAACTGTTAGATGCCTGTCGTGTCATCTACAATCACGTTTACAAGTCCAAACCTGTGCAGATTCGTAGAGCGCCGACGACTGCTAGTGACCTTGAATTTGTCTGTAGATCGATGTTACTCCAGTCAATTTAGGTTCAAAGTGGATGTTTTCTAAACCAATTTGTTGTTCCTACATCAAAAATATATCGATGATGTTTTGTACTGGGAGCTCATGAAAGATCAAGGTAACTTATTTTAACAGTCATCCTTTTTGTAGTCTCAAGATGACACGAAAAAGGGTCTGTGGATTCACTAGAAATACACTGCCGAGGATGTTTAGACCTAAAGTGACTGGAGTATATCCGTGGATGCTTTCGAGGGATCTGTTCACGTGCTGATCACTGTTTACGTTTAATGTCTTTCTTCAGCGCCCAGAGTATAGCGCCGATATCGCGAGGATGCTTCACGCCTCCTAAAGGCCCCAGCTATACGAGAGCCTCACAATAGTTCATTACCCGTTCGGAAAGAATTTTCCAAGAGAAGAAGAATGAATATGTTATAGCGTTTTGATGACTGGTTGTTTAGTTATAAGCAACTCAATGTGCAGAAACGCCAACTTTGACAGCCTGCAAATTCGCCAGTTTCAAAGACGGTCATTTTATATTCCAAGGTTATAAATTATTCATAAGGGGAGGAGGGCGCATATTTAATCCTTGTCCTCGGGGCATACAGAACTCTAAAGCCAGCCCTGTGTGATTCTAGAAAACAGAAAAAAAAAGACATGAACTCACCACTGTGATGGGGTACATGGGGTTTATGATGGTGAATAATAAAATGTGATTAGGCTCCGCGTCATCAGGCCGTTTTCTTCGGGGCTCTTCTATTGTCGCGTTGAAGCCCTGCGTGGGCTGAAACAGAAAGGCACAAGTCAGTATTTTGTATAGGTATATAAACCACAAGCAACAATATTTCAATAATCAAAATAAGCTATTTTTAACCTGTCACTGAATATCATAAAATTCAAAAAAGCAATAGTTCATCCCTACTAATATTGTAAATGAAAAAGTGTGGATGTTCGTTATTCATCACGTCAAAATGGCTGAACGGATCTGGATGATATTTGGTAGAGAGATAGATTATAGTTGTCAGAGAGGATCAGCTATTGATGTTGTATCATGGTCAGGTTGAGTCTCGTATGCTATATGCTTTGAACTTCTGGGGTTCATGGGTAAACGCTTCTAAGGTGTTCTTAAGCCAAAAACGGCTGGTAAGGTGTACAGTGGAGGTAAGCAGCTCTTATAGTCACAGAGGATTATTCAAGAGGTTTTTTTCACTTTGAATAGTCAAATACTCATATACACCAAGTGGACAATCGCAGACAAAATTGCATCCATACACCTTTTGGGCGTTACAAGTTAGACAGCAGATTACCATGTATTTTAAGACCAAATATGTTTAACAGCCATACAAAGGATCACCTCAATAGGCCAATTAAAATCTGATCTGAAAAGCTGCTTTATCAGTAATTGTTCTTATGCAATTAGCTTTGTCAGGTTTTAAATATTGTTTTTTATCACTAATTCTATCTTGTCTGTTGTTGCATGTTATTTGTTTGTTTTTTTATTCATTGATTTTGTACAAATTTATTTATTCTATTTTTGGACGAAACCGATATATGTTCATGCATATCTGAAGGAAAATTAATGTATTATTATATTACTCCGGAACAGCACATCCCGGGAAATAATTTTGAAATATCTAGTTCACGTGACGTGTCTGGCGCGGAAGCGCTCAGTCGCTGGTCTGACCGCAATGAGTAAGGGTATATACCGGGTGTTTCAAATTCAACCCTCACCATTTTTATCTCTCAAACGGTAAGAGATATTAATTCGCTTGAATGGGAGCAAAGTTGCGTATTTAGGTAACTTACGAAATTCCACATTGAAAGTTTAGAAAGTCCAAGCACTTGCGAAAATCGTTGGCTTTGCCCTCACTTTATTTTTAGTGGGATTTAAAGATAAATTGCACATTAGCATTGCAACTTCTTCTTCTCTGCAACGTGGCATAATCAGAATTTCAATATGACGATTTGTCTATTGTACTACAGCATCAACTTTATTTTTTCTTATCTGTGCCATATTGGATGTTTGCACAGGTGAATAGTGTTTTTAATTCTGATTCCAAAAATGTATAATGTGTCAGACACTGACGTTGCCAAACATTAGTTTTTTCAAAAAAAGAATATTTCCTAGGTAGGCCTTGAAGTTGTCATGGTTTCATATACCAGATTTATCGCCAAATCATTTTTATTTCTACCTGACTTTATTTGAGATGGAGTGTCAAAATAGATTGCATGTTGTTATGCTACTTTTTCTCCTCTACAAGATGGCGTAGTCAAATTTTCAATTCGAGGTATCTTCTTTCGACTTCCATCACCAACTTTGTTCTTCATATGGAATTATGACGATTTAAATACTACTAAGCATATGTATATTACTTCAATTGAATTTGTGACGTTTATCGTGACCTAAATAAATGTATTATATTCATAACTAAACACAGAAACAAAAATTGTTTTCGGTTGGACAAAATTTCAATAGTTCATAGGAGAAAAACAAACTTGAGGATGGAAATCGAAAGCAGAAATGTTTAATTGAGAATTTGATTAGGTCCTCTTATAAGAAACAGTGGCAATGCTAATATGCAATTTATTTCAAAATGTCAAATTAAACCAGGAAATAAAAGACGACTCTATAAATCCGGTATACGAAACAAATGACTAACTAATAATTTCAAGGTCTGCCTAGGAAATTCTATTTTCTTTTGTTTTAATTACTAAGCTTTAGCAATGTGCCGGTGAATGAATGAAACTCAAAATTAGAGGCATCCCGGCCACCATAAGGAGCCAGTGCATAGGCCGCATAAGCGGGCCCTTATGCACCTCTACAATCCTTAAATCACAAGCCTCGCCCTTTTAGCGAAGTTGAGAATCGCCTTGAGTCCAAGCTCCTTGACGTCCTGAGGGTCCAAAGTAATGGACCCCAGTATAGTCTGCCTATATTAGCTCAGAGCTTCACAGCGACACAACACAATGTGCCGGTACGTGAAATATTATATATTTTTGGAATCAGAATTACAAACTATTCGTCTATGCAAAAATCCAAAATTGTTGTCCATTAGAGTGATTTTGTGATTAATATGTTCCAAGCAAATGCCTGATAAATAATTTTAAGGCTTACCTAGGAAAGTCTGTTTATTTTTAAATAACTAAGGTTTGGCAATGTGAAAGTATGACGCGTTATACATTTGTGGAAACATAATTAAAAACTCTATTCATCCGTCCAAAAATCTAATATCGCGTCCATAAGAAAAAATAAACTTGTTGCTGGAAGACAAGAGACGAAACACCGTATTGAAATCCTTGTGGAGGAGAAAAAGTGGCAATGTTAATGTGGTCAAAAAAGAACTAAAACGATTTTGGAAAAATTCCAATTTTTCCGTCTCTCTCAGGATTTCAAAACTTTATATGGGGCCTTGTTAGTTATCTAAATACGAAACCTTGCCCCCATTTGAGCAACTTCGTATCCCTTACCCTTTCCGAGATATAGTTCGAACAGCCTAAGGTTATGCCCGCTACGTCATCACTTTATACCCTCTCCCTTGCGTCGATTGTACCCTATAAGAATATAGGAAATTGTTGTGACAGTCACTGGTAAGATTTATGGACATCTGTTACCGCCCTCTTAATGTGGTCCAGTTCTAATCATGGCGAATATTTATATCGTAGAAAGCTTAAAAATGTATGTGGTCTTCAATGTCCAGAAATTATGTTGCTGTTGACGCTGTTAAGGGACATCCCACTCTCAGAAAGCCATAGGCGGAACGTTTTTTAGTATGTAGATACGCAAGTTTCCGTCAGTTGAGATTGTTGACACAATTGGGATCTGATGAAACGTTTGTTCGACTTATTTATTTTTTTATTTATTAACCATATCATATTTTATATTTGATTGTGTTGAAAATTATTAATCTTATGGGGTTTGTGGATATTTGATGGAGATCCATAAATCAAAATTTAAAATAGTGAGCAGGTACCTAAATATAATAGACACAATATTGAAGGGTAAAACCCCAAAGTTGGCAAACAACTGAAAGTAATTAAATTAATCCTAAGACTGTGATCCGCTTATATCTATACCAATCATGAGATTTCCTAGAGTGCATCATTAGTACCTAGATAAATAGGCTAATACCAATATCAAGCCTAGGTAAACAAAATTAGTAGAAACAAATCTAATAATAACAAGTGTAAATATATTCAAGCAACTTTTCATTTTCATCCCCATCTAAAAAGCGGCAACGAAAATCACCTGTTGTGGATAAAGTGACTGCAGGCCAAATTGAAGAAATGAAAGCAATCATATACGATTTTTATATTTTGGAGAAAAGAAGACCTTCGCTGAAATGTAAGTTTTTAAATTGTAACCGTAGCATCTAGTCATATTTCATTTTAAGATTTTTTAGGTATTTACCAAAAAATGCAAGATCGACAACTCAAGTTTGAGGGTAAAATAACGACTTTGAACAAACTTTTGAAACAAATGGGCTTTAGGTCAGTATTCATACACACTATAAGGTTTTCGATTTACAACGCTATAAATATAATTTATATCTACAGATGGAAAAGAACTACTGATAATAAAAAAGCTCTCATGGAAAAATATGAAATTCGCTTGAAGCGTATCGAATATCTGAAGTAAATTATGAAATATAGAGCTGAGAACAGGAACATAATTTATATGGATGAAACATATATACATTCTAGTCATACCCCAAAAAAGGATGGTCAGATGACAATTATGACAAGGAACTAAAAACGCCTTTATCAAAAGGACAACGAATGATTATTGTGCATACTAGTGGAGAATTCGGCTTTATTCCTAACGCCTTGTTGATATTTAAATCAGGTATTATTTGTGTTACAATGATGTAAAATATTTCCAATATATTTTTACATTTACTGGATTATATGTATGTATTTTATTTTCAGGCTCAAAATCTGGGGACTACCACAACGACATGAATCATTTGAACTTCATGAAATGGGTAGAAAGCCAATTGATCCCTGAAAATTCTGTGCTTGTAGTTGACAACGCTTCTTATCACAATGTCCTGGAAGAAAAAAATGTAACGTCTTCTAGCCTGAAATCAGAGATGATTGACTGGCTAGGAAAACATCAAATTCCTAGTGAAAACTCATTAACTAAGGCCGAACTATATAAAAAAATACAGAAAAATAAAAGAAGATTTCCAGTCAAATTCAAGCTAGATGCCTTAATGGAACAGCACGGGCATAAAGTTTTACGACTGCCTCCATATCATCCGGAGCTAAACCCAATCGAGAAGATTTGGGCTCTCGTAAAAAACTGGGTTGCTCCACGAAATGTGACATTCAGGTTGTCTGATGTGGAGCATCTGACCCGTAGCAGGTTTGAAGAAATTGGAGCAGATGAGTGGAAAAAAATTTGTAACCACGTGAAAAAATATGAGCAAGCACAAATGGAAAAAGAACATCTTCTCGACGATCAAATGGATAAGTATCAATTCAATGTGAACACAGGGTCATCATCAGAAGATAGTGACGAAAGCGACTCAGATGAAGATTTGAAGCTAAACACACTATCATCTGATAGCGATTAGATTTTTTAATGATAATATATAATTTGAATTATAACCGTCTTTAGTTTGCTCCCTCTTCTAATTCAAATTTGCTTCCGAAGAACTTAATGCGCATACTAAATGAATATAATAATACAAAAATCAATTAATGATCAATGTCTACACAACCTATTCACTTTATTTTATACTTCAAATAAAATAGAACGCCACTGCGCTCTGTCGACGACCG